AGGCAATAATGTTACAAGGCAGATTATTGTGCCCAAATGGCTTCCACTGACTCCATAAATAATTCTTAAATAAGGGCTAGGTTATAAAACTTCATTCATATCAATGAACAGTAGCTCTAGATATTTGAGTTGGGAGTTTGTAACAGTCTTAGGAAGTAAAATACAAAAATCTAAGAAGCTGTTTCATTTGTGATTTTATATGTGAAAAATTTCACCTCGAATATTGCATCTGAGTCTTATAGCTTTTTCAGTTTAAATAATAACTCTTAAATCTAGAAAATATATAGAAAAATCTATAAACCAAGGACAGCAGTAGGATAAAATTAAGAGATACAAGCCAACTTCTATCTAGATTAAATAGCTACCATCAGCAAATAAAACAAGGTTTGTCATTCCAGAAAGATGCTATGTAAAGAAAAGACGTGCCACCAAGCTAGAGACACAAATACCCATTTCCTGTAGCTGGAAAAAAAATCGAGGTTCTGATTTCATATCTTCTCTCCACCAGACCTTTCCTGAACTGCATTAGGACTCAATTTGATTCTTTTGCTAGACAAGTCCTTAAATATTGTGGTTTGGGTAGCTGACAGAAGCAATTTTTGCTAAAGGTCTGAAAGAAGTTGCACTGCAATAGAAAAATCCAGTATTTTGAGAATTACAGTAATCCAGTTTAGTCATTTAATTAACATGAAGGAGCTAATTAAAAAAGTCAACCAACAAACCAAAAAAAAATGCAAAGTTTTTTTTTCCCCTTAAAAACAATGCCAAAATTAAATTAATAGGAAATGTAATGGCAAATTCAGAAATATGATGCTTTTTATACCAGCTGGAGACAATTTGCACCATGCCCATTTTCCCAGATATGTGAAAATGCAAGTGTTCAGGAAAAGCAACACTGATGTTTTTTGTCTGGCTGTCAGACATTTTCAAGCATCTACTCTGCAGAAATAGAAATCAACGTAAAAGCAGGACAGGACATTACAAAACATGCATAGACAAAATATAAAGAAATAAAACATTTTTATAATTTAAATTATAAATCAAAACCATTTTTATATTATTTAAGCAGCCTGATCAGGGATGTTATCAGAATACCCACTGCATCAGATGTCTTACCAGACGTGACAACTGAAAAGAGCTAATAAACTAAACTGGATTTGATACATTAGGAAGAATTTCTCAACAGTGGATACAGTATTCCTAGAAAAAGGGAAGGAAAAAGACTCTCAGGTCCTGGTCTAAAGCCTAATGAAAGTAGCAACATGTTTTCAAACAGTGTATGCAGGGGCCATATTAGCAACTAATAAAGCAGTAGGTGCTATTCATAGTGATTTCTATTGGTGACTACGTATATGCTGCTGCTATTCCACCTGCTCTGTTTCCTAACTTCTACATTTACCCACAAGACTGAAGTAACCTGCCAGACTAATACTTGATACTTCTCAAATGGTTCTCATGTCTTTATGAACGGTTTTTGGCAGGCAATAGCAGCCACTGTGTTTCCAGTTTAACCAGTAAAACTGATAAATACAACACTACCAGTAACACCTTCAAGTAACAGTGAGTTTTATTAACTGCATCACTTCTTGGCAATATTCCTTTAAGGAAAATAGTTGTTGCAATCTAATTATTTAATCTTCCTTTTCTTTCTTTTAATTCTTTTCCTATAAAAACAGGACTCATTCTCACTTGATAACATAATTAAATCGTTGGACAAAAATAATGACGGAAGTGTCAGCTTTGATGAGTTTGTGATGCTTATAAAAAAGATAACTGGTACAGGACAGTAAGGCATCTGCAAGAATGAATATCACTGCTTTGAAGGAGAAGAGCCTGGCATTTATGTACATTATACGCTCACCTAAACCTACAGATCTGTTATGACTTTCAAATGTACAGAATAAAGATTTGACATATAACAAAGTATTTCTTGTACTGTGTTTCCTGCAGATTCACTAGCCACATTTTCCAGCTAAGCTGCCTCACAATCAGTTCAGAACTACCTGTTTCTATTTCATGCTATATTTGAGAAAGTTTCATTTAACAAACGCTGCTTAACCTGAGCTATTATTTGGACCTATAGAGCACTTTAATGGAGCGATTTCTGAAACACACTAAAAGAAAGACATATCACTCCAGCTGAGAAGTGTCCCTTAGTGTACAATGTTCAACCCTCCTCCCAGTTCAGTTTCATCATTCACCTAAGACGACAATTCCATACAGTAAACAAAAGATCAGATTTTTAAAACATATTTATTTTCAATAACAATGTAACAATGCTAAATATCATGACTGTAATGTTACTTGTTCTATTTAAATTATATTTGCATGTTTTTTCTTGTTATGACTTGTAAAATAGGAATATATAAGTGTATATATAGGAACTGAGTGTTTGCTGTTGCAATTAAAACATCATTACGTTTGTTTGGTGCAATTTTAACCTTTTCACAGTATGATTCCCTGTGACATGTATTTTCACACATGCAATTCATGGGAATTATTTACATTAAGAGGAAATTAGGGAAAAAGAAGAGAAATCAGAAGAATGAAAATTTTGAAGACACAAGGAATTCAGTGGACTACACACTAATCCTACTAGAGAATTTAAAACACCATCCCTTACCCTGATAAATCATTTAAGTTGCTTAAGGACTTGAAGAATCAACTTAATTGCAAAGCCTACCAAGTGCATTGAAGATCCCACACCACAGCAGTTCCTATCCCTGAATTCCTCCTCCATGAAATGAGGAATAAAGTGCTCCATACCGATGACGCATGAATAGAGGCCTCAAAAATTATGATATTTAAACACGATATGAATGTTCTAACAGGCTCATGGACCATTCTTTTATACAAACCCTTTAGTCGTTAAAATGTGTTATGTTTCTTGGAAGAAAAGAAAATCATAATTATCACTTTTTTCTGGTTTAGAGAAAAAAATATTCTAAATTAACAGTGTGCTTTGATTTCAAACATAAATATACCCCCTGCACATTTGCTGACTACATTAGCTACTTTACACACAAACAAAACCACAGAATTTTATGAGGTGCTTTCGCATGAGTGGGACGTAAGTTCATTTTCATCTCTTAGGCAACCTTAGAATTTTTTCTACTTGGTCAGGTTACTGACATCCTGAATAGGAAAAGCGCATCGTGAAACAAGCATGTTATAAGAGTGTCCCCTACTGGCAAAATCTATTTCTGCACAATTTCTTGAGTATAGAAAAGGCACTTTTTTCACTCGACACAATATCTACAGTTTCATGAACATGACCTACTGCATCTTCTGTAAGAAGAACAGCAGTTACAGTTAAAACCAGCTTTTAAATTTGAAAAAAAAAAAAGCGTGATAGAATTATATCTGGAAAGATTCTTCTTTTCTGTTAGAACAGTATTAAATGCAGTTGCAATAAAATTGACAAAGAACATAATTAAACAGCTCATTCAAAAAAATAACATGTTTAATGGTAGAGGAAGACGAAGGATACGGAACAAAACAAATAACTCTTTTCCAATTCAGTGAATCAAGTTCATTAGCAGTTCACAGACTATAGAGCTTCCCCTTAAAGAGGTTAATTTTAAAATTATCAATTGCAACAGAAAACTTATAATAAGCATTATTCTCAAACAAATGCATTACTTCTCTGAACAGCTACCTTCCTGAAAAGAAAAATAACAATTTACCTATCATTATTACCCAAAAGGCTAGGAATAAAGCAGAAAGCTTAAGAATATATAGCAGCAACATGACCTGTAAATAATCAAGCAAGACAAGATCAAAATCTTGAGGGACTGTGATCAGTGCTCAAGTACCTTCCTCATTTTCCCTACTGAAATCAAACGCCCATTAAAGAGGAACTGAAGCCAAAACCTTAAGGTGGTATTTTGATAGTGTGAATGGTATGGTCTGGTGCATACAGATAATTGTCATATCAGAGGTTTTTTGGTGGTTTTTTTTTTCCTTCAGAGCACACATTTTCAATTTAAGCCTAAATGAAAATGTCTAATAGCAACTTCAAATCTCTCAAACACAGCTTATAAATCACAGCTTATTATTTTTTTTAATTCTATGGCTTTAGGATTTTATTTTTCCCCTGCAGTATCTTAAAAACACAATTTTGGCTGTTTTACACTGTTAATTCATTAACTTCAACTTTTTGTATGCAAAGACTACTATTTTTTCCAAGGTATCTGAAATCTTAACTTTACAATACCTGCAGTCATTTAGACGCCACTATAATTAATATCAATATTCTCCTAAGGAGCAGTACGGTGTTATTCAGGGTTTCCCTTCTGTAACAAGCTACTCATTGGTGCTTTTGCAGAACCCAGGTGGAGCAATATTGTTGTAATGATAGTCAGCAGAAATACATTAACAGCTAAAATGAAACAGATATTCACCACTGCAGGCAATTCCCTACATTTGGAAGATTTGATGATAGAGAAACAGGTCACTATGAGCAATTCAATGTATCACTAGAGCAGACTTTTACATCTTACACCAAGATAGTATTTCATTTCTCACACATATTTCTGTTCTCTTTCTGTTTCTTACAGGCCCTCTTTTACCAATCACTTTTAAGTTCTACTATTATGACAATGTGATACATTACTCTCCTGAACTAGGAGATACCTGGAAGAACTCCACTCTAAAATTCTACCATTGGCACATGGCAGAGAAAGCCCTGTCATATCATAGTATTGTAAATTTTCTCAAAATGAGGACTGTGAGATGCATATGGGAGGAGGGGTGTAGTGTTTAGAAAATTATTACAAAAATTGCAAAAGTAAAACTAAGGCGAATCGCAGAAGTGAGCAGGTGAAAACAAGGGACTACTGAAAGAAAATACCTTTCCAAACAATACTGAATAAGGACAGCAGACATCTCTTCATTGTCCTACCATGTAAAAATACAAATAGATCTTAACACAGAAGTAACTCCCTTTTTAACAGAAGATGTACATTCCCAAAACACATGTAGAAAAAAATAGTACTTACAACAGGGTTTTTTGTGTCTGGGTCAAATTCTGTAGAATTTGCATCTGAAACAGAAATTCAAAACAAACACGGTACATTTCCATTGCTTTGCATGCACTACACTCATCTAAACAGTCTGTGGCATTTTAGGGCTTGTCTGCATTTCAGCTACAACTTTATATGTTAAAATGCAGACTGTGCCACTTCTGAAAAAAACACAGGATGCATATGACCTCAATCACACACGTTCCCTTTCCTACTTCCCAAAACTTTTTTCTCTCAGCTCTTAGTGGCAGAAACTCATTGATGAGCTAAATCTCTTCATACTACAACTGCAATGGCTATGGTATGGCGGCTCCAACTAACAAAGCAAGTGAGATAAACCACTTCCTTTTACCTCTCTCCACCTGCAGACTCCAGAAATAGACTACAGAGGCAAACTGTGAGCACACGTTCTCCTACACTCGGCAAGAAGCAGGTTTCAAGCAACCTGCATAAAAAGTTTCTATTCCCTCGTACAAAAAGGTAACACAGGGTGCTTACCTCTTGATCATTTGCACCTAAATACCCAATGATCACAAGACCTGTGTAGTAGTTCCAATAATAAATATATATTGCACGTACAGGATAAACTTTCTGCTAAGCAAATCATATGCACGCTAGCTTACTGAGCTCACCTTTCCAATTCAAACAGTTTCTTGCAAATTCCACAACTGCTAACTGCATTCCCAGGCAAACTCCTAGAAGAGAAAATAAAACCCCCAGAATTTAATGGGACAAAGAATAGGACTGACAAAGTATTTGCTGTTCTGTCTGATTAGAAATCTTGGTACCTGGTGTATATACATAGATTTATCAAAAAGCTAGAACAAAAAGAGCTGCTCAATGTAAAATTCACTCTTCTAACTTGGCACATTAAATATGTGTGACACAATTACGTGCTTTAACCCCTTTCAAAAATATTTTTTTCCTGTCATCTATTTTATCAATAATTACCGTAAAGACAAACAGAAGCGAAAGCCTGGGTATAATCAGATTCCAATTACGATTTGGCAACTCGTCAAAGCAGTAACTTAAAAAATGTTAAGAAGCGTGAAGTAGGAACCGAAGCTTCTAAGATACTTACACAAACAGCACTTAGCTTATAGGCCAGATGGCACGTTTACTCATCCATAATAAAATACACTAGTAAATCAACAAATATTATTTAATATAGCAAATGTATCCAAAGACAGACCTGTTTCCTGCACACTGATTAATATCTATAATGACGCTGATTTAATTAAAACGAGAAGCAAAGACTCTCCACAGAAAATGAGAATGTAGCAAATGAAACCTTTGGTGGAGGGACAGTCTTTTTCTTCCTTCCTTATACAGCAGAAATAGTACATGACTGTGATCCCAGACATTATTTACAAGACAAATATTCACAACCACCCATGTACTTCCCTAAGACAGGATCCTTCCCTACTGTGTGTTTGTTGTGGTTTCTCATTTTGTTTTCAGTTTTGTTTGGTTTGGGATTTTTTTTAATCACACCTCAAAAACACAATTTCCAACTCTAATGATCTTACCAAGAAAAGGTTTTTTCTTTGTTCTTGCCCAGGAAATAGCTTGGAGTTTGCCTTCTGTTCCCCTAATTCCAAACCCTCCTGGGACCAGAATGCCACTGTAATGACAGCCATATATAAAGCAACCAATACGTACAATCAAGCCAGCAAAAATACCACTACAAATTGAAGACTTATATGGTTATAACAAAGTAAGTATAATGCACAAATGCATGTTTTGTATGGCCCTTCAGAATACACAAAATTTAACTCTACATTTGGAGATTTGTCTCATCTAGCCACCCCTATTCTCATCTCACAAACCCCATTCTTCACAGTGGAATTCCCACTGCTTAAATAAACTGGCTACATATTCACTACTCTAGGATCTTAACAGCAAAACTTCGCTTGATAAGTGATATCAAAGAAAAGAAATGCATTCTGACAACAAAACAACATCCCTTTATAAATACAAATTGAAATTCCAGCAATGATTCTTAACAGAGATGTTTGCAGTGTCACCAGCATTTATGAAGCTTTTATCTAACTACCTTTCACTATGATGCATGTTAACAAAGAAAAATCTTTGACAACTGACCTGAACTGTAAAGAAAGTCTAGCTATCAAGAAAAAGTAAAAATCAGCAATTAATAACTGAACAATCACAACTTGTCTAAAGAGATCAAAGCAGAGTTTGAGGATATAGGTTGATACTATAATTTGCTGTGTCTGAAGCTTGTCACCAACCACGCACATCTATCCCTTTACATAAGTAAGGGAAGTTTGGATGCCCCAAGAAATTATTTACTGTAGCATTTTTCATCACATGACATACACAGTCTACATTTGGGATACAGAATACTCAATGTCACTTACTCTGCTTTGCACAGTTTGTGCCATGCCTGGTGATACTTCACCGAGTTCTCTGCCTCTGTAGAACGTTCAAGTTCAGTTGAATCTATGTACTAATAAAGAAAAATATGCAATAAAATAGTCTTCATAGAAAGAGTAGCACACACTACACAACCAGCTTCTTAATAACATTGAGAAACTACCTGTAAGAACTTCACCAAAGACCCACATTTGCTCTGAAGACCCAGCATTTGCTATAGTTGCAACAATCCACGCTCTTTTCCTTGCATGTAGCTCCAAAGCTCTGCCTGCCTCCAGTCCTCATTTTGCTACCCCTCCTCCAGGTAGGCAGACCTGCTGGAATGCTTCAGAACCATGTACTCAGGTTTTCTTTCTATGGAAGTCAGGGCACCAGTCAAGGGGTGGTGCTAACCTTATCCTGACAACCAAATGAGACATGGCCAGCATGCCCACTTTCCTAGTTTTTAGGTGTCACAGTTTATCTAATTTTACCACAAGAAAAACTGCCACTTTGTGGCCTGTGAGATGGACTGGTGTGAAAGTATCAACTGTAGAGAGGGAGGCAGACTCATTATATATGTCCTACTAGAAATACTGCATTAGAGTCTCCACCACCATTATTAAGTATGGCTCCCGAGGCAGCACTAGAGCAAAGGAGTGAGGCAGTTGCATACTGCACTGGGGGCACAAAAGATCAGAGTTTGATTCTTGGGTTTGTCAGTCTTTTTCTCGGAATAACATAATTAATAGCATCTTGCTGTAGAGTCATCCTCCATTAAAAAAAAACCAAAACGATCATCTGAAATGATAAAATTCATTTGTGTGTAGAGAAATGAAACCAAGAAGAAGACTGCTAGAAGCTTTCCTTCTATCAAATATTTTCTACTTTTTCCACACTCCAGAAGGCATCAGAAATACAACAGAAAAATAACTACTTCATGAATGTTGTTACTCTATACTAGTAGGATACTATAGGAGCAACTAAATGGACACTTGATCACGCTGAAAGATTGGAAAGAGAAACTAATTACAGTTGAAGTTAATTGTGGTTTCCTTGCCAGCATATTGAGCCAGCACATTTATCACTTCAAGCAGCACCAACATTTCATCGTTGAGATGATACGCTGGATGCCACATACAATATTAAGCAGTTCCTTCAAAACACAGGATTATACATTAAGCCTGTGGACAAAAACGCTAGAGAGGAGATTAGCACATGCAGATCAGTACAGTAGAGCCTCTGGCTGTTAATATTTCAGCACCACACTGGAGTTCAGGAATCGATTCACATGGTTGTTAATGCAAAAGCCCCAGTGAACTTAAGACTGCTGCACACAAAGCCAATCACACATTTGCAAACTTAGCACCTTTCACATTTTTGCTAAAAGCAAAGTTATTTTACATATCATAAAAATTTCTCACTATGCAGCTGCAAGTATAAAACAGTATTTAGACTAAAAGAATCACATAGGTTGGAAGGGGCCTTGCAAGGTCTCTAGCCTAACCCCCTGCTCAAAGTAGGTCAAATTAAAACAGGTTTCTGAGGGCCATTTCCAGTCAGGATCTGAAAATCTCCAGGGACTAATTCTGGCTGTTCTCACTTTCTTGATTTTCAGGCACACAGAAACATCTTTTTAGAGTATTTGCTCCATAATCTTCCCAGGGAATGAGGTGAGACTGATCACCTGTCGTTTCCCCAGATCCTCCTTTCTGTGTTTTTTGAACACTGGCACAATATTTGTGCTTTTCTAGTCATAGAATCATTACTATTACTGAGCCTAACTGCTAACCTAGCAATGCCAGGTCCACAGCTAAACCACACTCCTAAGTGCCCTATCTAGATGTGTTTTAAATACCTCTGGGGTTGGTGTCTCCACCAGTTCCCTGGGCAGCCTGTTCCAGTGCCTGACAACTCTTCCAGTGAAGACAATTTTCCTAATATCCAATCCAAACCTTGCCTGGTGCAACTTGAGCCCTGTAGGTTGTTGGAGAAGAGACCAACTCCCACCTGGCTATAACCTCCCTTCAGGTAGCTGTAGAGAGTGAAAAGGTCTCCTCTCGAACTTCCCTCTCCTCCAGGCTGAACAACCCCAGTTCCCTCAGCGATTCCTCATAAGACTTGTTCTCCAGACCCCTCACCAGCTCCACTGCCCTTCTCTGGACCTGCTCCAGCCCCTCAATGTCGATCTCTTCCCTACTCCTGCTGGCTCCACTATTTCTGATACAGGCCAGGATGCAGTTGGCCTTCTTGGCCACCTGGGCACACTGCTAGCTTGTGTTCAGCCGGGTGGCCACCAGCACCCCCAGATCCTTCTCTGCCAGGCAGCTCTACAGCCACTCTTCCCCAAGGCTGTAGGTCTGCCTGGGGTGGTCGTGACCAAAGTGCAGGACCTGGTACTTGGCCTTGCTGAACTTCATTCGGTTGGCCTCAGCCCATTGACCCAGCCTGTCCAGATGCCTCTCTAAAGCAAATCATCATTCTCATCCAGTTTTTTGTCATCTGCAAACTTATTGATGGTGTACTCAATCCCCTTACCCAGATCACTGGTAAAGATATTAAATAGAATGGGCCCCAATACTGAGCCCTTGGGAACACCACCTGGGATGAGTAAACAACTGGATTTAACTCCATTCACCACCGCTCTTTGGGCTTGGTCGTACAGCCAGTTTTTCACCCAGAAAACATACACTCATCCAAGCCATGAGCAGCCAGTTTCTCCAGAACAACGCTGTTGGAAATGGCGTCAAAGACTTCACTAAGGTCCAGGTAGACAACATCCTCAGCCTTTCCCTTAACTACCAAGTGAGTCATCGTGTCATAGAAGGAGATCAGGTTAGTCAAGCAGAACCTGTCTTTCATAAACACAGGCTGACTGGGCCTGATCACCTGGTTGTCCTGTATGTATCCCATGATGGCACTCAAGGTCAGGCTGACAGGCCTGTTGTTCCCCAGACCCTCCCTCTAACTCTTCTTGTAGATGGGTATCACATTTGCTAACCAGTGTTCATGGTTAAGGGAACTTAGCATCTTCCCCCAAAAGATACTGGAAATATCACCGTAAACCCTATATTCCTTACTCTAGATGGAGAATCACCCATTTAGGGAGCTTTTGGGCTCAGAAACAGCCGTATTAGGGATGTTTTGGCTCTTTAAAACACCTATTTAGGGAGCTTTTCAGCTCTGAGACATTCACTTACTGAGCTTTTGGGCCTCTGAAAACACTAGGGAGCTTTTGGAATCTGAAACATCAACTTAAGATGATCTTGGAGTCCTAAACACTGATTTAGGGAGACTTTGGTCAGATTGGACAAGGTTCTGATCTAGTGAAAGATGTCTCTGCTCACTGCAGAGGGATTGGACTAGATGACCTTTAAAGGTCCCTTCCAAATCAAAATATTCTGTGATTCTATACACACCCCTGGTTATTCTAAGTGCTCCCATTGTTTCTTCCCAGGGTAGATGGACTGAGACAACAGAATGGTGGCTATGCCTTTGGCCTGCTGCCTTAGAGACCCTGTTAAGCCATCCTGGATATTAATGACCTTCCACATCAAAGAGCAATGAGTTCTGGTGAGGAACTTTTTAGACCTGAGTAGAAACAGCCTGCTTTTCTTGCATAAACATTATCTAAGCAATCCATGCATACGTGCGCTTTTGACACACTGAAACTTTCACTCCGATTTCTTCTATTTTTTATATCACGAAAAAGGGAATGATCAACAAAGGTTACAAGGTTCAGCACTTTCAGCAGTTACCAAAGTGCATAAACACAAACTTGCTTTGATCAGAGACAAGCAGAGACCAAAACCTGATGAACGCAGTACAGCCTGCAACCGCCTGGTTTGATCAATTTATCTTACATCATTTAATGAATTGCTCTAAAGCCACATGTTGCTGATACTTTGTGACTACTTATTACTGTTTTGCTACTGCAAGTTGCTAAAACGTCCTCTTTAGCCATTAAATGATAATAATACGTACTTCCACACTGCTCCTCTGCCCCAGCCTTGCCATCCGCAGCAACAAAACTTAGCAATGGAACCTGACAGTTCCACCAGTGAGAAAGCTGATAACAGTTTTTCCTGCGTAGTTCAACTTTTTATTCTCATTAAAATGAGACAATTTAGATGCTTAAATAGTCCTTTATTCGAGGAACTAAGTTAATGGCCCAATTCTGATATCATCAGAATCCTGCTGTAAATAAAATGGAGGGCTCTGGGAATATTAATCAAAGTGAAGAGCAACAAGCTTCTGGTACCAGATTTTAAAAAGAAACTAAATTGCTTTTCAATTTACCTGCTTTATTTTGTATTTAAGCTAATCTCATTAACATGATAAGCAGTCTCATGAGAACAAGTGAAACCTCTACCTTTGACATTAAATATTAATTTGCAGGGAAAGTCTGCTTTTTCATCAGCTCCAGTTTTGAATAATTGCAGCACTCCTTTCAGTTAAGTTTAGCTCCAAATAAAATAATTTAATCTGTAAACACTTCTTTATTTAAAAAAAAGACAGACATCCTTGGCCAGCCTGTATTTGTCTGTATGATTCATCTTCTAATTTCCACATGAATTAAAACTGCTTCATATGATGGGACCTTGTAGAGTATATTCAAAGTATTCCTGAAAGCAAAATCCAGAAATATCCTCACCATTAAGTCCAGTTTGTGATTAATTGCCAGAGCAGAGTGTTCCAGAGCCTTGAAAACAGATGCATAGCAATCACTTAGTTTTGTGTACTTGCCAACGAGAGCTATGGAACACACCTTCAGCAACCTTTCGTACCTGATGAAAATAAGTTTTTCAGTTATTACACCAATTTTCACAACGAAAACATTTTAACAGTGCTTGCTTTTTCTTTAACCTCACAAGACATCCTCTAGAATCTCAAAACTGCTAATGTTTTTAAACCCAGACCATTCACAGGTGTAGAGCAGCAGCATGCTACTGACCCCAGCCCAGTTTTGTCCCTTCACAGCAGCTAAAAACCTAAACATGAATTAAAACACTTCTAGAAAAAGCAGAAACAGTTAGAATACCTGTCAGCCATTTTCTTCCATTTCATTAGAAGATCACTTGGCTGGTCAGCAATAGGTAAATTTAACCTCTGTTTAAAATACTTAATGATGCCTTGCTGCTCCAACAGGATTGGTACACGATAAGTGGAAGAAACATCATGGATAAATATCACCTAACAACAAAAGCATAACATAAAAAGACTTATCCAAAATTATTTCACAGACATTCTATTTTTTTTGTATACTCTATGTGTTTTGTATTCTATGTACATTCTAACATTTAAATACTTTTCTTTTGAATGAGCTGGACAACACAGCTAATATTTAAGACCTACAAGGAAAAAGTTACACAGAAGGTAAACAGATGTTTCACTTCATAACATCATCACATCTTGTCAAGCCTATTAATGTATCAGTTTCAATACAAGCATCTGGCCCCACAAGCAGTCATGCTTGCTATCATTTCTTTCTCCCTCTCTCAAAAATCTGAAGAATATTAACTGTGAAAGAAAGAACACAAATGAAATCTAAAAAACCAGACCCAGTTAGGTTGCAATAAAGTCCCCTAAAAGAATTTTGTTAGTGAATTAGGTTATGCATATAGTCCATTGAAGGACCATTTTGTTAAGAGTACATTTATAAACTGTGTCCAAGCTGCTGGCAGTTAAGTTCATTTTGCTACTGCTGGCAGTTAATTTTGCTACTTGGCTTACTCGAGACTGCTGAGCTCAGAATCCTGAGCGCACAAGTTCTCCCTGCTACACATAAGTAAAGGATACTCATTCAGTTATTCTTGAATTACTTCTGTTCAAAAGTATGTACACCTGCATGCTGCCCCATGCCTCTCTATAGGCCCATTGCACCGCAAAAAGAATAGGGCAACCACAGCTTTTGCACAATAGGAATAAGGCTTATCCAACTGTTCTTCCAAACTTGGTAGCTACTATCCTAAGAAGGCATCATTAAGAAAGAATCACCAGCTGCTTTAGGTGACAGCCATGCTGAACTAAGGAGAATTATAATTTTGAAAAAAAAATGGAGAAATGGTCAGGCCCAGAGGGTAATGGTGAGCAGCATGACATCTCTTTCAAAGCCAGTATCTAAAGGATAGAGCCAGTATGTAAAGGATGGGGCCAGTATGGGCTCCAGTCCTCTTAAGATTCTTCATAAAGTACCTGGATGATGGAGTAGACACCAAAGTGGCAGGAGTGGCTGAAACACCAGAGGGTCAAGCTGCCATCCTGCCAACAGGTGGGAGAAACAGGCCAGCAGGAACCTCATGAAGTTCCACAAGGGGAAGTGCAAAGCCCTGCACCTGGGGAGGAAGAACCTCTGGCACCAGGACATGCTGGCAGCCACCTAGAGGGAAAGTAGCTTGGCAGAAAAGGACCTAGGTGTCCTAGTGGACACCAAGACAAACATCAGCCATTCAACAGTATTTTGGGTTGCATGAGGAGTTTTGCCAGCAGGTCAAGTTTTTTTTTCTTTCCCCCTACCCAGAACTGGTGAGGCCCCACCTGGGGTGCTGGGTCCAGTTCTAGGCTTCCCAGTACAAGACAGACATGGACACACTGAAAGAGTCCATGGCCCACAAAAGGCCACAAAGATGGTGAAGGGGCTGGAGCATCTCTCCTATGAGGAAAGGCCGAGATTGTTTGGACTGTTCAGTCTGGGGATGTGAAGGCTCAGGGGTGGGCGTGGAAAATCTCATCAATGTACAGAAATACCTGCGCAAAAACTGCAAAGACGATGGCTCTCTTCACTGGTGCCCAGTGACAGGAGCAGAGGCAATGTGCACAAACTGAAACACAGGAGGTTCCCTCTGAACATCAGGAGACACTTTCACACTGTGAGGATGGCCAAGCCCTGGCACAGGTTGCCCTGGGAGGTTGTGGAATCTCCATCCTTGGAGATATTCAAAAGCTGCCTGAATAATTGTCCTTGATAACTGGCTCAAGGTGTCCCCACCTGAGCAGGGGCTTGGACCAAATGACTTCCCTTTCAATCTCCACAATTCTGTGATTCTACAAGAGCAGAAAAGGGGAAAGGTAGACTGAAAAGATTAATCCCCCTTTAGATCAACTTGTTCTCAACTGTAGCTTCTCTACTGGTATTATACACAGCTCCAGGAAAAAGATCAACCGATCTATCCTTTAGTTGCAACACAGAATGGCACCTAGCAGCATCCCAGTTTAGCAAACTGGGCCTAACTGGCAGGGACACATTTATATTACAGAATGCAGTGCTGTGGACAGATATTTCAGCTAACCAGAACAGCACAAAAAAAAAGTGCAGCATTCTGCCTGGGACTGGTACAGCTACTGAGCTTCCACCCTAAGAGGGAAAACTTTTTTGGAAAAAACAAAACAAACAAGAAAATCCCAAACAAACTAAAAAATACCTCAAACCACCAGTGCCATGAAGACAGCTCCTGTTCTGCCAAAGAGCTCTTAGGGAAATTCAGTTACACGTGGGACTCTTGATCTAGTCAGACTAGTGTAACAACTGCAGTTGGAATTGGAGTATGTACATGCTTACACATGGCCTGATACTGCCAGAAAAGCACAAACTATTTTTGTTTGACTGAACTGCCAGTTATGAGTCTCTGGCTAGAGAGGAACCACAAAGCCAGTTCTGAAGCATTTTCCAGAAGCTAGCTCAAGGGTGTTGTCTTGCACAGATAGTAGGATGGAAAGAAGGGCTGGGGGAGAAATACATATTATCACAGTAACAGTGTTCACATGGCTGTGATGATCTATGGACATAAGCAAACCCCCCAGCTTTAACAACACTGTTCATCCATTATTATAACGACCTGAAACAACTTATGGACAATAACCAACCACAGCTTGCAACAGCACAGTTTTCACAATCATGTACAGCAATTAAACATGCACCCAAAATCTATATCAATTTTTTACATAACATACATTCAAATTGTTAACGAACATTTGACATAAAATTTACCATGAAAATTCACAACGTTTTTAAAGTGTTATAGTGTTCACAACAGCAAGATAAAAATTGTAAAAACAACTACACATTAATGAAATGGTCTGAAGTTGAAAACAGAAATACACAGAAATATTTGTGTGTTTTCCCACATGTTTAAATAATGCCAGATAAAATACTAAAGTACTGACCTGCTCAGGTTCCACATGGCAAAACATGGAAATCTTTTCCTTCACTGCCATTTCTATAGGTTTTGCACTTCTGCAGACAATCTGTCTTAACAGAAAGAAAAATCTTAGATATTTACTAGGTAATCCTCTGCACTGTGAAAAATCTTAGATATTTACTAGGTAATCCTCCGCATTGCTCACAGAGAAATTAATCTCCTTCGGAAGTGT